TTTTATTTAATTCAATTATTTATAACAATTAATTTAATTAATTAATTTATTTTAATTTATCTTCTATTCATAACAAATTTGCTTGTTAAAATACATAATCTTTTTAAAACAGAGTATATACTAACTATTATATCTAATAACAACATGTGTACTAACAATATTATAGAATTAACTACATGATCAATTCTGGATGCAGACTTTGAAGAGGATGATGAAGGCTTTGATAAAGTTGAATGCTATATTTCAGAGAAATCTGCAAATAAAGAAATAGATATGATAGTATAGTGAAAGGTAATAATAGTAATATATAGATTTTTGCTAACAAGATAGCTCTTCAGAACTATATAAACATAGTCTCAAAGAGCTATTTAGTAGCAAAATTCCATATATCCTACTAATAGTATATTAAATATTTGATATGATAGAAGGTAATAATAGTAATATATAAAATTTTTGCTAACAAAATAACTCTTTAGAACTATGTAAAATATAGTCCTGAAGAGCTATTTTGTAAGCAAAAATCACATATATTCTGTTTATTAAATATTACTATGTATTTAGGCATACCAAACACAATTTTCTCATCTTGTGAAACTACTTAGCTATTTCAGCATCTTCCATTGCTTCTGAATATACCTTTTCCTCAAGCAGAAATATAATCACAAACAAAAGATTCAGTTTGGTATCTAAAACTGTAAGAATAGCATAATGCTTTAAGTCATAGATACAAGAGCTATTGAAAGAAAAGTTAAGAATTTGTAACAACAAGGTTTAACTTTAAAAACTGTAATGTTTACTTATCTAATAAATAATATATAAAGTTCATCTACTATTTGAGTATTGTCTTAAAAAAGACTTTAAAAATATAATGATTACTATAATAATCATCATATTCTGTAAAAGTCTTTTTCAAGACAACAATTTATATGTTTGTTTGCATATTATGTTATTTATAATTTTACTATTTACTTCCATTCACCATTTTATGAATTAAAGTTTACTATATTACCATTATAGACACTTAATAAATAATTAAATAATTAAATATAAATATAAAACAAAAAAAATATATATAAAAAATATAAAAAAATATAAAAAAAATATAAAAAAATATATATATAAATCAAAACCTATTTGAGATTAACTTTAATTAACTACTTGGCTAAGTTTAGTTAACTAATTAGTTGACTAAACTTAGTAAAATAGTTATCTAACTATTATTACTAAATTTAGTTAACTAATTAGTTGACTAAACTTAGTAAAATATTTAGTTGACTAGAAATCCTATCAAACTTGAACATGTTCATGAACTTTCGAACTGAACTCGAACCAAACCGAACACAATAAAAAAAATTGGACCCAAACTCGAACTCGAACATATTTTCAATCTTGTTCGAGTTCGGGTTCAGTTCGATTTTTGGACCGAACTCAAACTTGATGGAAGTTCAGTTCGGTTCAGTTCGGTAGGAGCACTAGTAGTAATTTTTTTTTTAAAAAAAAAAAAATTGGTTTTTTGTTTTTTTTTCTTTTGTAATTTTGAGATATTCAAAATTTGACTAAAACGAGAAATGCATCGCTGAAAATCGAATAAATTTTTATTTTATAAATAAATAATAATAGTTTTACATTAGCCGGATTCAATAAACCAAATAAAAAAATTTCGTAATCATTAATTACGTATTGAAAAAATTATTCGGTTTTAATTCACCCATTAGGGTGATGCAAAACAAATGATCACCACTGTATATATATTAATCAAAACTTTCCTTTTGCTGTGGGAACCCTATAAATTATTCTTATTCTATATCTTTATTTGATATTATAATTTTAATTGTTAATAACGATAAGATTACAAGTGCAACGCCCCAAATGCCACTTCATCATGTGATTTTTTTTTTTATCCCATAAAACCTAGCCAACGAAGCAACAATTAAACTTACCAAAAAAGTGATTTACTAGGTTAACTGGCTAAATTGAATATAACGATAAAAATGAATTATTGGTTTTAGGTTTACTGCAAGTTAAATTATTAAATTTATTAGGTAAAAGTAGGAAGCGGGTTTTATTAGTTAAATGAATCCTTTTGTTAATAAATAAGTCCCAATAAGGTATGACCAATTTTCGTTTAAATCTTGCACACGTGGCCCATAATACTTATCAGAGCGATCGAAGCCTTAGAAATCCACCTGCCAAATCTAACTCGTAGGTTGTTACGCTAAACCCACTATCTTTTCCACCTCACAGTACAAATTAGGCCATACCGATAGAAAGTTAATTTTTTGTTTACCACCATCCCACCCACGATTGGTTATGGGTTTTTATTCGGAGGTTGTCATAATCTTAAAACCAATTGGAAATATCCTCCGGCTGCAATTAGTAAACAGAGGTATAACATCTTTCTCCAGGTCCTATCAGACCAGAAAAAAATCCGAAGAGTGTTATTTTTATACCTCGTTTCATGAGGTATCTGATGGCCCCTAACATGAAAATTTTTAGACCGACCTGCTTTTATTTTGTATATATGAAAATTTTTTAAAGTTTTCAAATTTGCCCGGTCAGATTATGAAAACCAATTAATTTCGTATGGCCTTAATAAAAAAATTTTTTGTTTTAATATTCAAATAACGCATTATATTATCAGGTTTGGTTTTTTGAATAGCAGAATATTAAAACATACGTAAATAAGCAGCCCTCAGATTCTAGTGAATAAACGAGATTCATGAATGCCTATATTTATTTGTCGTATTATGGGCTTGTTCTATTGAACTTGAAGGTCTTATCCAAACGCGATATAATAACAAGCATGATATTTATTTATTGGATATTCTTATTATTATTTATTAATTTGTTTATTATGGCTTTGCTTTATGGTTGTCCCCAATACCTCCAAGAATTTTTATTGACAAAGCCTCAATTCTAAAATAACGCCATTTGTTTACAAATTTCCACGTCAAGATTTCCTTGTAATATCAATCATTAAAGTGGCATCAAGCAAAATTTCAATTATCTATTTCCAATAGTCTGCAAATCGGTCTTTTTTTTTTTTAAGAATAGCTAATAATAGGATAATCTTTAATTATCATGAAATATGCGCCGTTATGGACGCGAAATTTCTGTTCATTTTCATATCTAGTAAAAATAATAATAATTTTTTCTTGTATTTTTTTACCTGGGTTCGTTTATTCTTCCGGGCTTCAAGTTTATGAATTAAAGACTTATGGTGATGGAACTATTTTAGTACACTTGGTTTCGAGTGAAAATTCAAGCGCAGTCACCAATTTAAATTGCATAAGACCAATTCTTTATTTTAGAATATTTCGCCCTAATGGAAAGATTAATTCTATAAATTTAAATGTTACTGGGATTATTCCGGATTTCAATTTTTGTAAAACAAAAGTAGGAAGAACGTATAAGAATTATTTAAAAGTTTATCCATTAATAACTGAAAATATACTTGTTACATATGTGAATTCTACTGATGTTTTTTCTGCAAGTGTTTACGGTCTTTTAATATCTTGGAAAGGTGAAATAATTAGGTAATTATTTAATTTATCATGTTAGGATTTATTATTGATTTTTTTGTATGATTTATATGACTTTTGTGATGATTTTTTCAAGCTCTACTTTTCTGAGAAAGGCACCGGTTAAGAATAAATCGGTATCACCTCCTGGAACATTATATTTTCCAAGAAATAGAAATCTTATAGGTTTTGTTTATGCCGCACTACAGCCTGATACTGGAGATATCGATTGGGGCCTTTTTACGATGCCGTAAGTTAAGTGCGTAGTTACTGGATATTTATAAATAAATATTTCTTTTAATCTTTTGAATTTTCAGAATTCCGACGAATAATCGACAAATAAACTTGACACGAGAAGGTGTTATTAAAAATGATGGTGGATCTATGATTAATTTTGTTGCTTTCCCAACAGCAGCTGGTGATTATTGTTTGGTCGTGGCAAGATCTTATGATGTATCAAATACCTCATCGCCTCAATTTGATATAACGTTGCAAAGTCATTTGAAAGTGGATGCGCATTTTATATATACTACCGAAACTGGAAATACCATTCCAAGCATGTTATATTCGAGTTCAATAGAAAACCTAAATGTTTTTGCCATAGCATGTAGCGCTGATTATAGTGGTCTTGGAAATATGTGCCATCTATATTTCGCGAATGATAATAGCACTATGGCATATCCTTTTACTTTGAACATAGTATTTTTATCTATCGGGTAAATTTACGTTTCTTAAATATATCTTTATTATAAATTGCAATATTTAATGTTTTCTCGACACACATGCGCCCGTATGCAGATCTGTGGATAGAGCTGTATCAAATGAGCTTGGACTGAATATTAGGACGACAGACTATTTGAGCTTAGATCCGTTATATTATCAAGGGTAGTTTTCTTTATTATTAAAAATAGCATGGAAAGATGTAATGCTCATCGCGTCTCCTTCTTTCTGTAGTTTTTTATTGACTGTACACCGACCGCAACAGACTGGCCAAATTATATATGGTTATATGATTAATGCCACCGGTCAGTTTGTGAGTAATTGGTAAGTAAAAATAATGCGTGAAATTCTTCTGGAAAATCGTTGAATAAAGATTTTTTGATTTTTTATATGAAGGACATTACCACAACCATTTAAAACGAACTCCACAGAAGACGTATATGGTATTCTTCCGAATAATTCGATTGCATACGCGCTACAAACTGATGCGTCTAACTGGACAATTGACTATAAAAAGTTACCGATGATGACGATGCTTGGCGGTACATCTTTTTCAAATATATAAATGTTTATGAAATAATCTTTATGCTTATATTAAATCATATTTCAAGATAACGGCTATTTTAATCCACAAATAAATTCAACTTTTCCATCGATTGATGATACGGTCCCATTACGAACCAATAAAATCAGTATCAATTATAAACAAGCTGTTACATTATCAGATGGAAATATCAGTGTATTTCAATTGCAAGATATATATGGTGATAATCTTCTTCGACAAACTTATTCGGGAACTTCGGGATATTGTAACTTGACCACGGATTCTTTAACGATTACGTGCTATATTTTGGAGAGTACTTTTAATCTACCAAATGCCGTGTATTACGTGTTGGTAGATCCCGATTTTGTTCGATTAAATTCATCAAACGAACCTTTATTAGGAATTGAAAAACTTGTTTGGGCATTCAAATCAAGTAAGCTTGAAACTTTCTTTTTTTATCATTTTGCAAGCAAATTAGCCTGCGTAACAGTTAAGAAATAGATATAATTTATTTGTATAAATATTGTAGGCCAAGCCATAATCGAACCATATTCTGGTAAATATGTCAAACGATCATTACAATATAAAATGTTTTATATCCACGTTTACATAAAGTTTAACTAGAAATGCCCGTATATACTAGCGATAATCAAAAGTATAATACGTTTAGATGTCGCAGGAACAGCCAGTTTCGAAAACCTGACCTCCGAAGGAAAAAAAGAATTCATAAATCAGATAAATCATGAACTTGCAACGTGTGTTCCAGTGAAAGTCACAAGATTTCATAACGAACATGATTATCAGTATGACCCACAAAGTTTTGAGAAAAGAATTTTATTACCATTAACTATATTTGGGAATTCGAATATAATAGAAAATTCAAGTATAATAAAGAACTCGAGTATAATTGAGGAGAACTCGTTACACGTTTTCTGGGATTTGGATGTTTTAATAAAGAATAGTAATTTGACGTTAATTTCAAGAATGAAGAACACGAAACTTTTAGATTCTAGATTCGGAATTATTCGGGCTCGTAAGTTAATTTATTTTATTTTTATCATTTTTATTTCCTATTTCTAATCTTTATCTTTTTATCCATTTTTGTTTTTTTTTTTATCAGATGATTTATTTAAAGATTATTATTATCTTATTATTGGATTTATTGCAATACTTATAATATTGGCCTTGGCGTTTTTTTCTTGCTTTTACAAAGACCCAAAAGTAAAAAAAAAAAAAAAAAAAAAATATTAGCATTATTACTATTAGACTACACAAAATTATAGACTTGGTTTTCATATCACGGAATAGTAATCCGTGACGCTAGCGCACGGCTTTTTTTTTTTTTTTTTTAAGAAAAGTTTTTTTTTAAAATAATAGCAAAAAAAAAAAACTTTTCCCGACAGACCATTTTACAGAAAGTTTATTTTACTGACGCAAAATACTGTTCCTGATGGGATAGAAAAAAAAAAAAAATTCGAACTATGTACTGTTCTTGATAGAATCCTAAAAACTACATTACTATCGACCATGGCGCAAAAATTGAAGCCCAGTAATAACTGCCTAATCTAATTGAAAGGTCAATATTCGAAAAACAACAAAGGACTTTACAGTCATAATAATAGTTTTTAGCATAAAATCTTAAGGATCAATGTTAAGGTAAATTATTAGTTTATATTGAAATCAACGTTATTAGTCAAGTGTCGAGACTTCGGCATCCTTATTATAACTAAGCACATGAGAAATTAGCTTCGGATTCTTTAATAGTCCTATCAGTACGTACGTAAATCGATTTTTTTTTCTATCCCATCAGGAACAGTACCGTCGAACCATCAGGAATAGTATTTTTGCCCACCGTATTGGTTAACTATAAAAAATAAAAAATAAAAAAAAAAAAATAAAATAAAATAAAATAAAATTTACAAACCCCCGCTTCACTGACGCGGGCAGGATATGAAAACCAATGATATAATTTTGTGTGGTCTTATTTATCATTTACTTTACCAAAAATATTTTCTCATGATTATCATTTAATAATAGTCTGAAGGTGGTCCGGTATTAAAGTTCATTCTTGGTGTTATCAACTTTATCCTAAATGCTCTTTTTACTGTATTTTATGCACGAGCCGTAGAATCTGTTTATGTACCAAGGTATTTATTTTAACAAGATAATTGAAGTGAAACTTTAACTTATTGTTTTTTTTTTTTTTAAAAAAAAAAAAAATTCTATACATGCTTCAGTTACGCGATCCTAATTGGTTCCGTGATACTAAAAGAAGCATTTGGCCTATTCTTAATCCGTCGAGAACGTAATAAAAATTCTCATTTTGCGAATTGGTGGAGGAGACACATTATTATAGGACGAATATTCACATTGCTAAGTTTCGTGGATATATATTCTCTGGAAGTATTATCTTCAAAACTTGGAAATAGTGATTGTTTGAGCGCTCCTTATTCGGAGGGTATAAGGGATTGGATTTTTTGGCTTGGGTTTCTCGCATTCTTGAAGAAAGATATCGGTCAATTTGTTATTCAGGTAAAGTTTGAAAATGGCTTAATTGTTTCAAAATAAGATTTCTAACGTTTTTTTTTTTTTAAAAAAAAAAATATATATATATATATATATATATATATATTATATTTCAAAGGTGATATACTATAATTCAACACTACACAACGATCTAATACCGATGCTCTCGTTAATCTCTGCAACAGCAGTGATAATATTCAATGTAGTTTGGAGAATTTATTTGTGTATTAAATTTTTATTTGACAAACTGTATCGACGTGATGGAGCTACGAGAGATGATAATAATGAAGGTGATAAAGATAATATTTTTAATGAGGGAATAATTTTTGATAAAGACAGAGACTCTTAAACTTGACATGATTTATTAATGTATAACGGGAAGTACTCGTTAAAAATTCCTAGCATTAGAACATTAGAACTTATTAACAATGTAAATCATAAAATTTAACATTATAAATCATGCTTTAAACGAATGGAAATTTCAAAATAATTTTTGAAGTTAAGCATACCACTCTTTGAAGGGTCCTAAAAAAAAAAAAGTTTTTTTTTTCTATAAAAAAGGGTTGAAACCCGAAACTTTGTCGAACATTTATGTTCCGATTGCTAATGACATTTATTTTATTTAAACCAAATCATAAAGATTTGATAATTCTGAGAGAATATACGGTTTCCAAGTTAACGATGATAGTGCATAATTGTTTCTTCTTAACGAAGGAAACCATATAACTTCATGAGCAATTAAGATACAATTTTATCGAAATTTTTTGCTATTATCTAGTGAAATTAATCACTTAAAAATTTACAAAGTCAATAATATACATGCCGTAGAAACTATTTCGGTATATAGTTCCTACCTAATTTTTGGCATTCGGCATCGAAATCCTAAAGCCAAAATTAATGCCGCAAGTGTCAAAACGTGCCGAAAACCTAAAATATAGCCAAAAATTATATATAAAGTATCATTTGTTTCGATGTTGATGCTTTGGTGGATAGCTTTGATATTTAAGGGGTAGTTCGCAGTTAAAGGGTATAAATTTCATAGTAAAAATCGGGAATGCCGAAAGTTTTTTGCAAAAGTAAACTCGTATAGTAAAAAAATTAAATACTGATATCTCGGGACTGTTTGCGATGATTTTACCACTATTAGAAGAGAATAATTGTCTCTATAATTTTCCTTAGAAGCTAAAGGTTTACTTAGTAAAAAAATACCTTTATATGTAAGCAAGCCCCATTCCTGCATTATAATAAGTTCTGCCGTTTTTTACTATGAAATTTTCTATTTTTTATACCCTTCATAAAATACTACCGTTCACCATTGTATAGTACTCCGTTTCAAGAGAAATATGTAAAATACATTACGGCGATTTTTAACACTACCCTAAATTTATGAACATAATATGTGTTAGACTACTAATATGAGTCAAATAATTTGACTATACAATTTACTATAAATTTTAACATAATAATTTTAACGTTAACGTTAACATCAATAAAAGAAAATTGGTTTTTAATATGGGAAGATTGGTTTTGATTGGTTTGACGAAATAATTCTATTAGTTTTATTAATAATTACAAAAATCAAATAGTAATTTGACGTTTTAAATTTGGCCCAATTCGAAAAATGCGCCATAATGATATCGAATATGGGTAAAAATCCGGATCCCACAAGAGTTGCAAAAGCCCGAAAGAAAACTGCTAAAATCTTGGATGTTTATGATAAGCTTTTGGAAGGAAAAGAATGTTTAACGGTAAATTTTCTTTAGCTGATCTATTCCGTTATCCACCTACTTATTATGTTCATATTACCAATCATTCTGATTTGTGGAATAAAAGACCTAATGTTAAAAATAGTGGGATATATTGAGTAATAAGGATGCTTGGAATCCCTGGAATTGATGATTTTAGAAATTAGATATAGATCAGTGTTGTTGCTGGAAGACCACTGGAAGGCCACTGGAAGTAAAATTAATAGTGTCACTAGAACTTTTACTATTACGAAATCTCACTGGAAGACCAGAAATTCCCACTAGAAGCCAAAATTGACAACACTGATATAGATTACCTGTTTATATTTGGCATTTGTATTATACACCTTTTCTATGCAAATTCAATATTATTCAGTGACGATGATTTTCTGCGGTGACTAAGACTAGATTCTGCATGTGGTTAAAACCAGGGTTGTCCCTCGATTAGTCCAGTCCAAGTCCAGTCCAGTGGAATTCATGGTTGGACTTAGGTTGCTTAGCCCAATAATAGTCCAGTCATGTGAAGTAATAATATTGTCCAGTCAAAAGTAATATTTTTATGATCGTTGCGATTCGTTGCTAAACGAACGACTTGTTGCGTAATGGAACGGCTCGTGACGAATGATTCATTGCATAACGAATAATTCGTTGCGTAACGAATGACTTGTTGCTGTGCCAATTAGACCGGGAAGTGATCTGTAAAAGACTGGAATAAGTCCAATAAAACCCTGGTTAAGTCAAATACTGTAATTTAATGCAATACTTTTTTTGCCGAATTCAGCGAGTTCTGTAGATTCTGCGCTACGTCGGTGCTTTACCGTGCCTATTTCTTTTCTCCCGATAATCCCCGCTGCCATGTTCGTATTTATGTTGATTAATTATCCACTTTCGCGAAATTCCCTATATAAATTTGCACTTTTGCAGACATTCTGTGGTATTTTGTGCTGTTTTTTTTTTTTTTTTTTTTTTTTTAGGTTTCTGTGCAATTTGGTGTAATTCTGCGGTGATTAAGATCTATTTCTGTGTCTGGCTGTGTTTTTGCTGAATTCTGCAGTTTTCTGTGAATCTGTGAAACACAATAAATCATCGACCCTGCTCGGATTGTCAATAATCTAAAATCCAGCAATGAATTTTCAGCATATCGTCGTAAGAAGCACTTCAGTTCATCGCAATAAACATTCTAATTAATTGCAATGATTGAGCAATATCCCGATCACTTTCAAATTAACATCAAGGGAGCTGCTTGAGAACGCCTTTAATTTAATCGAGTCAATCAAACTGCTAAAAACTCACTTTTAATTAGACTAGGATCAAAGAGTAGAATACATACATACTAACAAGAAATCAAGTAGTTAATAATAATTGGATCTCACTAGACCAGTGTCGCGAATTTTTGCTTTCAGTGGGATATCTGGCCCTCCAGTGAGGTTTTGTAATAGTAAAATTCCAGAGATACTATTAATTTTGCTTCCAGTGGCAACACTGCACTAGGCCTTAAAGTTAATATGAAAGATATGTCTATTTTAAATCAAAAATTTCTATTACGTATAAGTAATATTAAAAAAATTGCATAACAATGTTTTTTAATAGAAATCGGATAAACCTGCTATTCAATATAACTCGAAATAAACACTCTATTGCTTTACCGCAGCGCTCTGAACAATAAGAGAGGAGGTATATAGTATACCCCCTGTTTTTTATCAATACTTGTTTCACGTTACACCTTAGCATATAATTAGATGATCATCACGTTTTTTTATTGAAAAACGTAGTATTCATGTTACACCAATTCCTGTTTTGGCCTGTTTTTTTATCACGCGTACAGTACCTAAACCGCGTTGGTATGAAAAAAAGATATATAAGAGTCACTTTTTCTCTTTTCTAACATATTAATTATCACTTCGTTTTTTTTTATTTTAATATTTTCACACTCACCTTTTTCTAAAAAAATCTCCTTCTTTCGTAGATTACAGTTAATTACAAAAATATTGTATATTTTTAGAGAATATCACCAACCAGAAGCTTTCGGGCTTCTGACCTCAACAGTTTCTAAGAATATATGATATGTAATAGATATTCCACGGGCTGTTGTGAATATCATGAATTAGCACGGCGAAGCCGTGGTAATACATGATGTC